GTACCCTGCCCCTCATCCCTTACCATATATAAACTGTAACCCGTCCCTAATAAACGGAGGCCTTGACAAAGTTGCTTGGCCTCGTTCTTCTGTCTTAGCTCATTCCCTTCCAGGTAGCGCCCCTCCGAGACCCTGGAATAACTTGATTGCGGGTGGGTTACTAACCCCTAGACTGAGTAGCCCACCCAACGCAATCCACACATGAAGATATTACCCAATTCCTACAAGAAGTGCCTCTCTCCAAGCTGAGGGTGCTAACAGACAAGCATGCCTCTTGAATTCCAGGTACCTACACCCATAGCTACTGGTACCTCCTCAGCAAAAACCCATCACCTCTAGGGATGATGGTGGGGGCCTGGAGGGAACAGAAACTCACAGTGTACACGGGCTTAAGCGACAAGGTCGAGCTTTATTGGGGTGATCACATTCATGTTTGTACTGTTCACCATAGGTAGAGAAGGCCAGTTAGAAAATTGTCCCATTTCCTTCAGTTCCATCTGTATTTGGCAAGCAGCAACACATATTGTCCAATGAACCCACCCCACCTTAAGAGGACACTCTAGTTCATAAAATTGTCCCCGGACAGTGTGAAACAGTATAGATAACATGCTAGACCCTTTACAAGTTCAAACTTTAGAAACTTGGGGTGCACTTGTAAAGCTAACTTTGCGTATTTTTTTTTCCAGGTAAGGAAGGCCAGTCATAAAAAAATACTTTATATAAGTTCAAGGTCAGAACTAAAATAGTCAACCCTATAAAAATATCTTACTGACGAAACTATTAATTTCTAGATAAATCATTCTTTATGACAAGTTATATAAATTCTCAGGAAATATCCACTAAGTCAGATGTCTGCATAGGACTTGTCAAGGTGACCTTAAGGTTCATTTGTCACCAGGGTTTTGTTTTCAGAGACGGACCACAATTTTGACTTAGGTGGTGTGTGAATAGTTCAGGTGTTCTACAAAAATTGAACTCAAGAATCTATTTGCTATGAGTCTTTATAGGCAAACTCTCACCCTAGAGGGAGTGGTCAGATTGCTGTTGTCTACAGACAGGACACATGTTCTGTCGGGGCTCACCTACACTTGCCTTGAAATGCTTAACTCGGGAAACTTGTGATTGCGTTTTGACCACTGTCTGAGATGAGCTCGTTTATCTCATTCTGCTTGCTCTCTTTCAGAGCGTGGTTTCTCTGCGCCTGCATTCTCTTGGATCTCCTGAAACACAGCTTGAGCAGCAGGTAGCACAACTCGGCCACATTGAGCAGCATGCAAATCACGGATGCGGAAATCATAAAAACGGTAAACACCGTTTTCTCGGTTGGTCTCGAAATGAAGCAGTCCACAAGATTGGGGCAGGGCTCAATGCCGCATTTCAGTACCCAGGGCAGGTGGTAGCCATTGTAGAGGAAGTAGAACACATACATGAAGGCGGCTTCGAAGATGATGCGGAAGAAGATGCTGCTGGTGTATGTCCACCAGAGCGAGCCCTCGATGCGCACCTTCTGCCGTTTGATGTCCTCCAGATCTTTAAACTCATTCCTCTTCTCTCCGCGTTTGAACTTCCGCGCGGTTTCGTGTCTGTAGTAGGCCACGTGCATGGCCACCAGCAGCGCTGGGGTAGACACGAAGATCAGCTGCAGAGCCCAGAGCCGGATGTGGGACACCGGGAAGAAGTGGTCGTAGCACACGTTCTTGCACCCTGGCTGCAGAGTGTTGCACACAAAGTCCTCCTGCTCATCACCCCACACTTCCTGGGCAGCCACCACGAGGATCATGACTCGGAAAATGAAGATGACTGTGATCCACACCTTCCCTATGCTGGTGGAGTGCTTGTTTACACCGCCGATGACCGTGTGCAGGGCCCCCCAGTCCATGGCGCAGGTCTACTCCTAAACAGACAAAAAGGAGCAAAGCGAGTTAGTGGAAGGCACCTCTGAATTAATCGATGTGTACCACAGTGAGTTACAAGGCCGTGCGAATCTGGGCAGGTCTCAACTGCCTAGTTGGCCCTCCACTGTGTGTTTTTCTGACAAAGAACGCCCATTATGGAGATGTTCTCTCGTTTCCGACCACAAGTAACCAATAGTGCGCCAACTTCTTTATTCCCTTTAGGAGGCAACATCAACCCGACAGCTTCCTTGCTAGGTGAAGAGGTTCAATAAATGAACATCACAGTCAACAGGTACTTGATTTCACTTCTCGTCTAAGAACTGTGCGTTTCACATGCCACATAAGTCGTCTGAGTTCATTTGGACACAGGATGTATATTAGGTGGCTATTTGCCATTAATCCAAGAACACAGGTAAACAAACTCATGCCCAAGTTCCCTTTCTTCCCTATGCAAAGGCACACATTCTATCACTGTGGTTTGACCCAGGGACTCAGAACTTCTGCCATAGCTTTTAGTGATCAAGCAGTTTATCCAACCACAAAAGAACTGCAAAAATCACTCTTTATGATAAACGACATACTCTGGTTTACTTAGCAGACTAAGAGGAAGCCATGCTGCCCAGTTGACCTTATGCAGTGTATATTTATTTCTAGCTAGAATAAACCATCTGCTGCAATCATGTGCTCTCAGGAAAGTTAATACCTTTCCCAAAAGAGAATCACAAGGTTTGACACAAGTTGTTTCCTTGTTCTCTGATGGAAGCAGGCCATGTGTTGGCTGTTGCTCAAAAATACAGGTCCCCTTGCACCAGGGGCCACTGAAGCCCGTTCTAAAAGACTGATTTGACATCTTGGGAGAAAAAGATCTTCTTTCCTCTAAAGCAGGGGTTCTCAATCTTCCTAACACTGCAACCTTTTAACACAGTTCCTCATGTCGTGGTGCCCCCCCCACTATAAAAGTATTTTATTGCTCCTTCGTAACTATAATTTTGCTACTGTTATGAATCATAATGTAAGTCTCTGTGATGTTGTGGGATACCTCTCTGAATGCTGTGAATATGTTTTATTACCTTTGGTTAATAAAGAAGCTCCATTGGCCTATGGTAGGGTAGAATATAGCTAGGCAAGAAATCCAAGCAGAGTTAGAGAGAGGAAGAAGGTGGATACAAGCAGCTGCTGGAGAAGCAAGATATGAGGTAACAAACTGTGAGCCTCATGGCAAAATATAGAATAATAGAAACGGGTTAATTTAAGTTGTAAGAGCTAGTTAATAATAAGCCTGAGCTAATGGGCCAAAAAGTTTGTAATTAATGTAAGTTTCTGCATGATTACTTGGGACTGGGCTGCTGGGAAATGAAAGCACAGCCTCCACATACATCTGTGTTTTCTGAAGGTCTTAGGCCATCCCTGTGAAAGGGTTGTTCAAACCCCAAGGGATCGAAACTCACAGGTTAAGAACCATTGTTGTATGGCAACTCGTACTCTAATTCACACAGATGTTTCTTATCTCACATCACCAAGAAGAAAGAATTGGTTGGCATGCTCTTTCTTTTAAAGGTGTGTATGGGTGCGGGAGTAATGAATGACAGACACTGCAAACCTTTAGAAACAAAGATAGTCGGGCATTTTTTTTTTATTCGCTTGGAGAAGATGAGAGAGTCACCAAAGTCTTTTTGTTGCTGGTCTCAGAAGATATTCTCTTGGAAGTGGGTGAGTAACACTGTCCAGCTTCCCCCTAAGTTAATCATGGTCAATGCCCAACCTACCTTGATACACAGCCCACCCTCAGCTTTGCTGGCCACTCCTCACACTGCCCACCATGCCCCCTGGGATGTCTTGGGTTTGACTAATTTTGGAGTCTATGCTTTTCTCAGAAAGCCATCAGGTTTGGGCTCACAAAGTAGCTGCCATATCCATCTGACCCTTGGGTGCTGATTTCTGCTCCTACTGGGTCAGACAATGGAGGCTGAGGTGCACACCATTGGGGATAGAAGTGCACATGGCAATAAGGCTAGAAGTTTTGTGTTTTGGTTCCAAGGATTTGCCCCCTTGCCGTGGGCCAGTAGTACATCAGCATGCTCACAGTTCCAAAGGTTGATCATGTGCTCTGACTACAAGGCTATCACAGAACAGCTGGATTCTTAGAGCCACACTGAACCTGAGCTTGCTGACTCCCAGTATTCACAAAAGTAGAGGAACGAGGCTTCTCAAAAAATGTGTTCACTGTTACAGGGGCAGGTGAGAGTGGGAACCTAAGGTCACAGAGAGATGGGGACAACTCAGATCAAAGGTTAATGGAGAGGCCCAAATCTGTAAAACAAAACCAAAATGGGAATACAAAAGTAAAAGGAGAAAAGGAGAGAGAGAGATACTGTGCTCAGTGTACAAAAAAGTAGTGGTACTTTCCTTGATAATATGGCTGTGGTTAGCATTTGCTGTCGTTGTTTCTGCTTTTGAGACAGAGTCTCATGTAGCCCAGGTTGGCTTAGGGCTCCCATTCTCCTTCCTTTACCTCCTGAGCTGGGATTACAAGCATGTACCACCATGCCTCTCTCCAGATGGTACAATTTTAATTGACAACCAATAAAAAGTATGTATGTATGTATGTATGTATGTATGTATGTATCTATCTATCTATTTATCTATCTATCTATCTATCTATCTATCTATCTATCTATCTATCTATCTATCTATCATGCTGGGGATGGAACTCCAGAATTTTGTGTGTGCTAGATGAGCACTCTACTCACTGAACTGTATCCTAGAGCCTCCAGAAAAGATCTAAAATGACACTCTTTCATTATTTTGTAACAATTGGGCAGTAATTACCATGGCAATAGCATGGCCAGCATCTTAGCTACAGCTAGTGTTTATAGGCATCTCATAATATCAGCAACATAGTTGCATCCTCAGAGTTCCTTTACTAAATATATCATAACTCTGTCGTTAATCGCTCTGACGAGCATTATCAGCAGGACTTTAGTGTCTTTTGTCTTACTATGGAAAAATGAGTTAGGCTACAAGCACTGAGGGTACAGGCTCCCTGAAGACATACTCCATGGTTCTGGGAAGACCTGGCATTCTGGGGTACCTGTGGGGGTCTAAGTAGGTGGTTGAGTCTTGAATGAGGGTCTTTTATTTCACAAGGGGAACAGCTAAGAAGCCAAGGCAAACTAGTTTGAGGGCATGAACTGTGGGGCACCTGGCAACAGTCTTGGCAATTGTAGCAGAAAGATTCACACCTTGTGCTGATCTGGAACTTAGAAGCCGAGTTGGGTATTTGGCATTAACAGAAAGCTAGGAGTCTGAAAAATTGAAACAGGTGCTCGGTAAAGCTATGGTTCTCAGTCCTGGAGACGTTTAGTCAGAGGCACGCTGAGAGTCAACAGGAAGAGATGGGTTGCTGGGAAGCCATGGTCTGAAGCTCCATGACTTAAGAGTATTTATTAAAGTGTTCTCTCTTATTCACCATGTATCCCATACCCCAAAGAGACGTCCATTCCCCACCATAAGTATCTGTGTGGTGAAAAAACCTTAATCTTAAGTAAAATGAATTATGAAAATTAGGTTTGAGTTCTTCCGGAAAGACGCTCTATTACATTTCCCTAACTGTTGCTGCTATTCCTGGAGGCGTGCCAACATGTGGCCTGTGAGAAGGCAGGAGCGTGTAAGTCTTGCAGATCACACATACTTTGGCACAGCTGTTCCCCATGAGATAGTATTCATTTTAAAATGTTCTCTCGTTAACCAATGAACACAACACTCTCCAGTCTGCTCAACAACTTGTCCCATGGATGAGGCCTATCAGATAAGAGCTTTCCCTCTCCCCCAGTGTTGCGAAGTCCACCAGGTCTGAGTGGCCCTGAGGGCTGCTCTCTCTGTGAGCTCTCTGCCACGCCCCTTCTCACTGCTCACCTGACTTGTAGGAAGCAAACAGATCGGGGTACCAAGGACCACAGAGCGTGGGTAAATGCCGAGGGACTGGGGTTGCAGAGACGGTGGAGAGATCGTGATTTCTCCCTAAGAATTGGGGTCCAACACCCCAAGAATCAGGACAGATGGAGACAATATGATGGTACTGGCTTTACTGTTTGTTTCTACCCCACCCCCTCCCCGGGCCTCTGAATTAGGTCCTCTAAAGATTTTCTTTCTACCCACCTACCGCATCTGAATAGAAGACAATCAATTTTCAATACACTTAACTTACTCTAATACTAAAAACCAAGAATTTAGCTGTGTGTGGTGGTGTGTGTCTCTAACCCAGCACATGGGAAACTGGACAGACGGTTTGGAAGGTATAGGCCAACCTGGGGGTCAAGACCCTGTCTCAAACAAATACTTCAGACAAGGACTACAAAGGAAAAACAACTTCAATAATGTGTCTGAAGTTTTAGGGCAATGACTCTTAACCTTCCCGCGACCCTTTCGTACAGTTCCTCAGGTTGTGGTGACCCTCAACCGTAAGTTCTTTTCGTCGCTACTTCAGAACTGTAATTTTGCTGCTATTATGAATCATAATGTAAATATCTTTGTTTTCCAAGGGTCTTAGGTGACCTCCGTGGAAGGGTCATTCCACCCCCACAAGGGGTCACACCTCACAGGTTGAGAACCCCTGCTTTAAAGGAAGACAGCAACACAAGATGTCTAAGTTACTCAGGAAAACAAGGTTAAACTCAAATGCTGGCGTCTTTCGCCTACTGCCACTCAAGACAACTGGGCAAAAAGCAAGTCACCCAGTTCAAGGGGTCTTACTGAAAAGCAATAAAGAAGAAATGATTGAGAAAGAGGGCTACTACTCTCTGTAGTTCCCACTGGCTTTAAGTGACTGCACCATGGACATGGGGTGAGCTTGGGTTAGCCCTTTCCGTAAGTGAAATGACTCTTTGTCTAGACCACGCCGTTACTGAGGGTGTCTTCCATAAAGTCTCAGGTATTTGTCCTAGATAGCGTTTTCCATGGGCCAAAAGCAATAAAGTGGAGGTCACCTTACAAGTATTAGGAGCCAGTCCAGGGTGATGGGCAGTTTGCGGGGGGTGGGGGGTGGGGGGTGGGGGGGGGAAGGTCTCCGTGCCCTACACTTCTGCATACATGACTTCAGTTCCTGGAAAAGTCTGGCTGCGTCCGGGAGACTCTTCCCAACCCGAGGATCTTCAAGAGGGGTGGAGGTGATGGGCGACTGAGATTAAAGGACTTGTCCTTCTGGCCTGCCTTATCAGTAGGCAGGCAGCTCAGCCAATGGGATGCAAACTGACGACAAAGGCCTAGGAAGTTCCTGCACTCTGTTGTCTGTCAACCCATGACCTGGAGGCATCTTTCTTAAAGTCTTTGGTTGGAGAAGTGGAAGTACACACCATCTGAGAAGGGGTTACTAACTCACAAGTAATTTCTCAAAGTACTGCAGCCACCAGAAAACAAAACCTCACTTTTCTGCCGTGCTTCAAGGGGCCTGAGATGATGGGAGGAGGCTTTTGGGTGAAAATCAAGTTATTAACTCTTGCTTTGTATACCACAGATGTTTGTTTAATCTGACAGCTTCCTGGCTTGCCTATAAGGAACAAATAAATAGATATGCTTAGCTCCACAGATGTCACCTTACAAGAATGTGGTTGCATTTAGGCTTAAAAAGACAAATCACATCTATTTCTGTGATGCATCTGATAACAGGGCACAACTATATACTAATTCTTGATATTATAATTCCAGTCTTAAATAGTTAACTCTAAAAACACAGCAGTGAGCCCACCTTTGGGGCACGCTATTATGAAGCGCATTGGTCTTTTCCTTTTGCATTTTAGATAAGCTAGGTCTACTTTTGTTCCAGCAGCAATAAAATTTCATGATCATTTTCATAATTTTGTTATAATTTTGAGGCAGGTCTTGCTAGGTGTCTCCGACTGCCCTTGTACTCCTCGGGTGATGTTAGACTCTTAACAACCCTCCTGTCTCAGCTTCTTGAGGGCTGAGATTGACAGGTGTGTGTCATAATAACTGGCTTTGGAAGCTTTTGGTATTTGAAGGTTGAGGCCAGTTTTATGAGAGTTGAGGAGAAAACATCGGGCAGAGGAGCTCTCAGTGCCAGCAGCTGCTGGGAGGAGGGGATGGGGAAGAGGAGAGAAAGCCTTGCCCTTTGAGTTAGGTCAGCATGTTCAGCAAAGGAAGGCGAGAAACTTTACTTAGGAATTTAATCATGCTGGCTCAATAATGCCATTTTAGCTCCACGGAAGACAGAACCCAAACCAAACTCCTCAGCACACAGAAAGAGCTTTCTTTTTTCTAGATCCATTTACAGTATATTTTGGGGGGAAAATCACTTGATGATTATAGATCCAAGAGGAAAGCACACTCCTTATGAGGCCCATGTGAGGTCTGTAGAGTTGAGGGCATAAAGGAAACCAGGTCCAAGCAAAACACCCAAACCTGAGTCTTGTTCCTAAGGACTCCACGTGTGTCCAGCTCAGGAGCCAAGGTGCAATCCCTCCGCAAGGACTTCTAGTTCTTGCTCCAGCTCCTCTGGAGGTCAGCAGGGCAGTGATGATGGCACTATGAGGCTGCTCTGTTTATGGATGGCAGTGGGAATGCCACCTGTTGAATGGGAAACACCATTATTGACATTTTCTTCCAAGTTCTGTGCAAGTGCACTGGATGAACTTCGTGGGCAGTTTGCCTTGATCCCGTTACAGGGTGAATTTGGGAACTATCAGTTTCCCATGCTTTGTTCTCTTCCACTCTGACAAACGCACTCTCCAGTGCAGGCGGATTTCCCTGTAGTCATGATAACAATGGCGATGATGGCAATGATACTCTTACCCCAACCCTCAGACCCAGTTTTCAAGTATGTAAAGGGTGGCAAAGAGTTTGAGAAGCTGGGTACAGCCAAAGCCCCATTCCGAGTTACAAACAAATCTCAAAAGAAGTCTCCCGAAATCTCAGGTGACCCAAGAGACAACCTGATAGTCAAGTTTGAAATTTAATGATGCAAACCGTCAGGAGCTGTGATTTCAAAACAGTGGCCAGTGAAGGCTTCAGGTTAGGATTCATATACTGGTAAACCTCAGCTCAATACCATAAGATTCATATACTGGTCAGCCTCAGCTCAATACCATAGGATTCATATACTGGTCAACCTCAGCTCAATACCATAGGATTTATATACCTGGTCAGCCTCAGCTCAATACCATAGGATTCATATACTGGTCAACCTCAGCTCAATACCATAGGATTTATAATACTGGTCAGCCTCAGCTCAATACCAAGGAAACTTTTGCTATGCCTTTAAATGCAAGGATGGAAAATCTACAAAAATTTGTTTCTTATTCCACTTGAATTACAAAAAATAATTCCCATTAAGTTCAACATCTCTTTTATAGGCCCTCTTAGCTGTTGCCTATCCCAAGCAATGCTCTTGCCTCTCCAGACATTTCATTTAGATTCAATTACAATTAAATGACTCTGAGGAGGGGAGCATGAGGCTTCAGGGGCCCAATTCCACTCTCCCAGATCAAGCCACAGCTCCTGAAAATCCTAGCTAGGACACTGTAAGATTATACACGAATGGGCTAAAAGAAACTTGGGTCAAAAACAGCTTTCCCACAATTGTGTTCCACTTAACCAATACGCCCAAACCCATAGTCTCTGGACTTTTTAGACTGAGTCAGAACTGAGTGGTGAGGATGTGCAAGTCAGAATTTTCTTTCTATCGATGAAATTATTAAAAGGCCATACCCAGCTCTTTTCCTTCTCTTACAGTGAAAAGGAAAAAAGAAATAAGAACAAAGTCACCACGGAAATTTACCAGTGGCCCAGGTTGGTGGGTCAATCTTCTGGGTCTCAGTAACTGTGGTGAGGTGAATGGGAACCCCTCACACCCCAGTGCTGTGGCAGGCTAGTACCTAGCCGGCTCACCCCATCACCACCTCCCTTCCTTGGCTCTGTTCAGACAACACCCCCAAAGATTCTGCTGGATCCAAAGAGCTGACAAAGCTCTCCACAGGGGCAGCTCTGAGCAGTATCCTGCACTCCTAAGGAACTGCATCAGGACAGGACGTTTTCTTCTAGAACACTGCTTAGATTCTGCTAGAACTGGGGCAAAGAAAGCAGCAAGTCTACTTGAAGGAAAACAAGGCCACAGGCACAAACTGACTGAAGTCGCTCGGTTGGGGCTCCCTTACCTCTGCCGTAAGTCCATAGCCCTCCCAGTGTCCACAGCTGTCTGAAGGCCACACTCTCTGAGACCTGAGGCGTCCCCAGGAAGAGAAGGAAGCCCAAGTCTGCAACAACCGGACTAACACCTGGGATTAGGCTCCTTCACCCGACAAGGAAGTACTTACTACCTGTGTCTGAACTTTTTAATCAGACGTGTCACCAATTACTTTTAATTACTATTGTGCACACTACTGTCATCTTCGTTTCCTAAGTTCCCGAGTCTTAATCATGCCACCTGAAAGGGCACTTCTCTCCAAAACTTATCCATTGCGCCAAGTCTCAGGGATGGACGGAACTTAAACACCATTCTTTTGCTCTGCCGTTCTGCTCCCCAAATCCAAGTGGGATAGGTCGATGACCTCCAAATCAAAGACAGCCCCCAACCAAAATAGGAAATGGTGAAAGGGACTCAGTCCGGACTCTGGTCACTTTACACAACTTGATGTATTTCTCAAACCTGTTGTGCAAGTCAGAGGGGCACGGTGCGTGCAGAAGTCAAACCAGTTGATCCCAGTTTCTGGAGCAGCGCAAGGGGGGAGGGGACGGCAGAGGTGACAACCACCTCGCAGCGATTCTAGCCCATGGGGGGCGAGCAAAGGTCCGGGATGCCGATTGGAGGCAGATAAGGATGCGGGCAGCCTGGGTGCGGCAACCCACCGCACCGCCAAGACTCTGCCTGTGGCCACCGGGCCACCTGGGGACAGTTGCTACTCCCGCGCCCCACAGGGGCAAATATGGCGAGGAAGGGGATAGGCCACTTCCTTCACCTACTCGGGCTTCTCGGAGGAAATTCTCCCTCTCGCGCTTACCTGCTCGGTGGGATCCCGCTCCCGGCTTGCAGCGGTGCCCACAGCTCCAGCACAGCGCGCAGGTCGGATCGGGCGCCCACGGTTCGCAGCGGGAACCGAATCGGGGACTGTGCGGGTGGAGCCCCGGTTCCCACCTGCAGCTTCTTTTAACCGCGCCCCACCCCGCCTCTGCCTGACGCCGCACGGGAGGACTGCGGGAGAGGAGCGCAGCACGCGATGCGCTGTGCCTGACGAGGTGCACACCGCCCTCCCTCCGGGCCGGGGGCGAGGGGCGGATCACCTTCTGTGGAGCAGGGCGCAGAGGGGCCGTCCCTGTCGGGCTAGGGGAGTAGGGCGGGTCCGTCTAAGGGGCCCGTAGATTAGAGGACTTAGATGAGACCCTTCTCTGGGGTCAGTGACCACAGCAAGTGCCCCCCTAGGAGAGGTACCAGCCTAAGCACCAGGTGCAAGATGGTCTTCTCTTGGGTTGGGGACACAAGGCATGTCCCTTCTCGTGGATGTGGGTGGAGCGTGGACCGCGATGGGCAAGCTCAACCAGGTCCCGACAAGGGCAGGGAAGAGTTGCCCGCTGAAGTCTTGCTGGGGCTGGACACTGGAGGCTCCAGTAATGAGGTGAGGGCTGCCCAGAGCGCCAAGGGAACAGGCTTTGGGTGAGTGGGCCCAGCGCCAGCACCGAGTCTCTTCCGCTGGTAGCGGTGTTAGGGAGGCAGCTGCCGTGTATTTTCATCTCCTTTTCTGGACCCTTTGGGCACCCTCTCCTCCAGTGCAGCCCGGAGGTTCTTAATTCATTAATGACCACTTAGGAGTCACAAGTGTTGTTTTTATTAGTCACCGAATCCCTTAAAGTCTTCTCCAGGGAAGTGAAGGGGCTTTCTCTCTGGTCACTGAGAGACCCCACTGTGTCTGCAGTCACAGACAGGGCAGGGAAAGGTGAAGGCAAGCACAGAGGGTGGTGTGGGGGCTGCGTAC